GCGCGGCGCGTTTGAGGATCATGAAGCCAGGATGTTTGACCATAGCTTCTTCATTTGTGTTTAATTTAGAGTACGATATGTTATATTCTTAAATTTTTAGTACATAGATTCCTCGATATTTTAAACCGGCATCGAAATGTGGAGATACACTCCGGGGTTTTGATTTTGTCGAGGGTATACATTTCTTAGGAAACTACTTCTTGACGGGCTAGACTTTCTCATGACCAAATCAGAACTTTATCACTCGTCGCAGTTTGTCACTCATTTGGAAGCTGAGGCGTTGAGTTACTTTACCGAGGATTGAGTGTTAAACCTTCCGGCATGTGAAGTGAAGGTGTCACCATAGAAAACATAGCACTTATCGGGGTGGTATTGCCATTTTCGACGCTATGTGTACGCCGAGTATAAACCGTTAGCAATGCCGCTCGTCTATATACGAGCAGTTGGAATGATACTCACAACTTCGTGTTGGATCAAGTTCACACAGCGCCGACGCCTTGAATCGAGTCGCGTTTTATAACATATAATTAATTAATAAAAATTAATTGTGCCGACTAACACAAGTTTTAATGAGCATAAATTAATTTATCTCAGCGATAGCAGCTGTCGTTAATGATCCTATGAATGCGCAAGTTAGAGCAGAAGAGTCGTCAAACGCGACATTTGTCATGTCACATGCGATGATTTAAAGTCATAAAGCACTAACTCACTTAATGACACATATACACACGCACAAACACACACACACTTCGGGCCACCTAAATGACATACACCAGTAGCTGGTGAAAAGTCACTCGGGCATGCCAAAGCCAACGGCAAATCTGGTGGCGCACACGCAAGCATGTGCAACAGTGTGGCAAGCTAACTGATTTCGCTGATGAGCTAACGTACCGCGGGACAAGCGAGGCGAATGGCTGGCTAACGCGCCGAAGACAGCGCAGATGTGTGCACGTGAAGTTCCAGAAGTCGTTGAAGCTGAGGCGAGCTGAAATAGAGTAGGCTTAGTAGAGTAGAGGAGGGAGAGACAATGACAACATGAATGACATGAAGAGTGCGCTGGCAGATAGCTTCGTACTTTTTCTTATTCTTATTGTGTTTTGGTGGTGCTCAACTGTGACTTGGTCAATGAGTTGCACTCTGCAGCAGCGCGCACCTTCTGTTGTTGTTCTTTCTCCTGTCTACGTTGTTGTAGATGTTCATGTCGATGATGAGCTTGCACTTGCACTTGCACTTGACTTCTGGGAAGGTTGCATAAATGCATGAATGACTACTTGACTAAGCTACAGGGAGCTGCATCTGGCCCTAGCCGAGCTGTTCTAAGCTTCGTCTCCAGCACGCTACTCGYTACTCAGCTATCGTGAGCCACTTGCGTTAACTTGCGCACCATCGAATGATTGCGCTGGTTAAGGTTTAACTGTTGSTGACGAGCACCAATGGCTCGGGACGTGGCAAGGGGTCCGCAGTCGCATGCGCAAAGTCGTTGTATTTATATAATTTTTACAGTTAACTTGCAATTACACACTTGCTGACTGTGCACGGATATGTCAGTGTGTGTGTGCGTGTGTCTCTGTTTACTCGAATAAGCAATTGAGAAAATGAGGGGAAAATTGAAAAACACTTGAAATGCAGTAGTCACTCTCGGTGGGTTGGCGCACATATGAACGTTGAACCCCAACTTCCGCGGTGCAAACAACAGTAATTTTTACAATCAGTAGCCCAACGGCTGGGAAGTTGCCGGCATACTTTTTATGGCTATTTGAATATTTAAAATTGATGAAAGCCGTTAAAAGTCAATAATGTGCTCAATGATCTATGTACTTATGTATGTATATGTGATTGTGTGTGTATGTCAAGTAGGGAAAGTAGACAGTACACGTGATTGCCAGGCTTTAGAGGTTACACATGAGGTCTCTTCAACATGTCTTTAAATTTGTTTTAAAATAAAAAATGAAATTGCTGGCATCTKCATGCAGGTCATGCGCTTTTCAGGAGCTTTATACCCTTATAAGAATATTTACTTAAAACAGTTTAATATCATGGTAGAGAATTTTCAAATCGACACTCTAATATCCAATTCTGCTAAAACGAAAAAATACATTATAAATCGTAGACAAGCGGATGACCTACTTCATACTRGTCAGTTCGTGTATTGAATAGAAAAATTTCACAAAAACATTACGATGTGGGCAAGTTTTGAGAAGCTTTCAAGAACTTCTCTGCAGTGAATCCAACGTCATAATGCGGGTGCAGTAACGCCAGTCCTTTTAATCTATCTTCAAGCATGGTTTTCACGCAGCAATGTGTCGAAAAAGAGCGTAAAGACCTCGCGTTCGTCACAGAATATATGAATTATGGAGTCTAGCTCTACATTTCAGTTCTTCAACGTTTCCAATGTAGTAGTCGGTAACTAGCTTTTGGTTGCCAATGACATTGACAGTGATCGAGTTCACCATTGCGGTTCAAATGTCGCACGACGTTGTCCACACCCAAAAGGCCTTTGAATCTATCTATCAAGCAGCCAATAAGATTTTCCCTTTCTTKGGTTTTCAAAGCACATACTTTTTCTGGAAGCTGCAGACTTAGTTGAAATCCATCCAATACTTCTCTAGAAAAACGCGTCCCCAAATCTTCGCCGATTGTATCGCAACAGAGAAATGTACACTGAGACCCTGTAGTACTCTTCGCAAGTTCTCACGCAAACATTTTTCGTTTTGTCGACCGTAGATTCTTTGCTTTTCTTTGTCAACTTTCAGTTCTGCCGMCATTTTTCTCGTGTCCAAATAAATGAATCGAAAATGTTTTTCAGCTTTTTGTCTTCAATTGCGAAACGTTACAAGCAGCGTATCTCTCATACTTGATGACTTTGCCAGATCGATCAACTCTTTCTAAAGAATGACGCTGAATGAATGAGTTAGAGATAGAATATCGTTACAGCGATGGGTATTAATGATGATCTTTGACGATCAGCGACTATTTTGCGGCAAATTGGATAACTGCATCATGCCGTTGATCCCATTTTGTTTCACAAAAGTTACGACAGTAACGAACCACGCCATAAAATATCAGAATGCTCGATGTAGAATGGTTTAGCTGTCAGCTGTTGGCTTTTCTAGATTGGAAAACTTGAAGAATAAACCGAAGAGAATGTATCACTTGAACAGATCCAAGATGGAGCTGAATGCAGCATCTATTTCAAGTGCTATATCAAGTCGCGACATTTCAAATTTACCACTTTCAGTTACGGATCTGATTGGATTTACTAAGAATTAATTCTGCATACGTTGCTACAATTTATAACYTCAGTGGTATCTTAGCATTATTTATTATATTCAAAAATGGAGACAGTCTTTAATTTTGATTCTGAAATAAAATGGCAATTTCTGGATTATATTTCTGTTACTTTATACTATTTGTTATAGCCCTTTTGTAATTTCCCCATTTTCTTTCTCTTAATTCGGCACTGGTCTAGTCGTTCTTCCGCCAGTACAAGAGAATCTGTCGGCGTTGGGTCAACGATATTTCACGGCAAGTTGAACTGTTCTCTCTTTTTAGGACGCATATTCGAAACAATTCATGGTGATTTAATGGGTTAGTCGCACGGAAGCATTTATTGTGATTTGACCATTAAATTTTGCCAATCTTCGCAATCACCCCATTTCAAGATGGCGATTTATAAAATAAAGTTAGTGTCTAAGTAAAACCATCACTGAGCACCATCGCTCCACGACTTCAAAAATTCGGTTTCGACCAATGCTATGGTAGTTGAACGTTTTACGTACAGAAGTTGACTCACATTAACGCTTTGGTACAGTATTTTTTTACTAGTTTAACAATGGAATGAAGTTTTTAGAGACCCAAAGCAAAAAATATAAGATTGTTTTCTTTTTTTTTTTTTTGAAATCCTAGAATATTTTAACTCCTTGAGGCTCCTGACTGGTTGTCTAAGCCTACATTACAACGTTTTCTACTTGAGGCTAAGTAAAAACATAGCTYAAATTAATGTTTAAAGAAATTTTTGGGATCACATATTTCACGTTACATAGACGCATCTCTGTATTGCAGCCGATTTTAATTGTTTATAGCCGTGACTACAGACGAATAGACTGACATTCGGTTTTCGGTGACATAATATATGCCATCCTATCAACGCTTTTCCTTTGTAATTGTGTTCCTAATACTAATTTACGGTACTCCAAATCCAGAAAATTTTTTCATTTCGTCCTTCACCAGGTATCAGCTGCTTTTAAGTTTTATATCATTTCTTTCTTTCATTTAATTTCTGCTCCATATGCGTTTTGTAGTCTAAACATATAATTTACATGTACTCTTCATCTATTCTACATGCCCTTCCTATACGCTACCGCGTGTCCTTCGAAATTGAGATTAATTGCTTTCAACAAAYGAAATTTTTAATTTTCATAATGTGTAACTCCGTATTCAATGGTCATGCGCTAAATTAGCTAGTACTTGGTGTGCTCAGTTTTTCCGGCAGTTTTTCGATTGTTGGCGCCTTTTCAATATTTAATTGCCTCTATGTACGGTAATCATTCTTTTTAATGTTTGTTGTTTTTAAGGTAGGACGGACCTASCCACTTGCATATGTAGTCCAATGTCTCGGACACCATGTGGCTTTCACTTTTACGCTATATTTATTTTAATCATGCAGTGAAACAATTGTCGAAGCTAAAAAATGCGCGACGAACAATTTAATCCAAAAAAACTGGATTATGCTTAAGGCTCATGCCATATTGCTGCATTCCGTTTGTAAGCCACAATCGAAATTATTATTTTTTAATTGTTAGTTTTATATCCATTTTTTAAGCATGAGTTGTCTTATACCACTAAAACACAACTCTGTTATAGTCCCGATCTCACCATATGTTTCTGAGGCAATCTTCTATAGCTCGTGAGTACTCATTCTGATTCTGTCATTTTTATGGTTTATTAAATTGATTGCTGTTATTTGTTATTTATTTTCCTCTCATTCYGTATCTTTTCAGCGCTCTTTGGTGACTATGGCAATATTGGACGCATTCGTCGGCGCCATCATCCGCGTGGCACGAAACGTGGTCGGCCACGTGGCAGCACCAGGCGTGGCGGCGGCAATGGCTCTATGGGACGTTCAATTTCATCACCGGGTAATGCAAATGTAACAATGCCCGGYACGCCAGGTGGAGAAGGTGGGTTATGGTCATTAAGAAAATGTAAATATATATACATATATATATTGTTTTTTAAAGGAAGCAAATTGGTGTTAAAAGTCGTTGGTAAAAGCAATATTTCAACAAGAAAATTTTTTAACTTCGTTTACGTTGAAGCTATATTACCGTGGAGCTATTGAGGGACTAGTTTGCGTTATATAGATAGATAGACGAACATGGCTAAATCAAATCAGCTCATCATGCTGWTCATTTATATTTGTTCTTRATAGAGTCCCCGACGTTCCTTCAGTGTTCAGATTTTGTAATGGACTTAATACTSCCTGTTCAGGGTAACACCGGTYTCAATGAACTCTGATTTRTTGAATACCCGAATCGGAGTTATAGTCGAAAATATGAAAAGGAAACATTTACCAAATGGAATCGAAGTCTCAGATATTAATTTGCTAAATATCATGTTATAATGAGTTAAGGCTGATCGGTGTTAATCCGGAGCTGTCTGGTCCTTGCCATCGATGCTGCTTCGATTTTAGCGTTTTTTAGCTCTGTCACGGCAGCTACGACCTCGATCGTTCAATGATATAACCTACAAAACCACAGCGTTCTAGGGATAGAATTCCCATTATGTTTGTTTATGATTTAAGGGTTCTTTTAGCATTCAGATACGATAAAGATTGATAGAACCCAAAATCGAAAGTCTGACGAAGCATTAATTCAGAATGCGATGGTTCATTATCGTGGGGCAAAAGCCAAGAGTAGTCGGCCCATAATTCCGGCTTATTTTCACGATAAGGTTCGCTTAAATGACGTATTATTAGTAATCGAAGAAAACTGCCAACATAACCTTGATTTTGACCTACTTTTACGTGGATTTTTTCGGCTTCGACACACCTTTGTCACAACTTTCGTCCAATTAATCTTTTGTTTTCGGGTCGTGAGCATAGATTCAAGACTCATCGCCAGTAATAATACGTTTCATGATATCATGGTAGTCGGAAAGCATTGTCACAAAAGCTGTTAGATATCGATTTAAATCTACAAATCTCATATACTTACGTTACTTGCTTGACAGGACAGGGAGTTATTGAGCTATAAGGGGGCATTCTAGTCTAGAGGCTCGAATTTCGAGCTTTTTTCAACAATTAATAAAAAAAGAAGCACTAGATATTTTTACTACCAGTTTTTTTATCATTTGTTTATTAAACTTAGATTAGAAGAGTACACAAAATAAGTAAAAGAAAAAAGCTATTTTTTCATCGAGTTATGCGTCCTTGAAGAAAAGGGGAGAAAAAAGAGGCCGTGTCCTCATCGCTATGATTTCTACCCTTGTCGTCACCTGCAAAATAAAACAGTGACAGACTCTTAAAGAGTACGAAATTTTTTTTCGTAAAATGGCGGCTACACAAAAAAAAGGTCGATTTTTTCACAAATTTTTCAATTTTGTCGATTTTTTTTTTTTAATGTTATAAATTTCAAATTGTTATTTKTTGTTGCTTCTAGTGATAGAGATATATGTTTTTAAAGAATATTCATGTAAAATTTCAAATAAATCGACTGATTAGAACGTGGCTAGCGCATCAAAAAAAGGAGTTTTGAGAAAAACGCCTTTATAGTTTTACCTTAAGTTTCGGGCAGCGTAATAGATAGATAGATAGTTCGCTCAACCGGTCTAGTTGCCACGTCACTAGAATGAGTATAACTTTGAAAATAATTTCAATTTTGAAAAATCTTTTTAGGGAGATATTTTTGAATATCAAAACTAACGAATTATGAAAAAAAGTTAGACTTTTTCAAATCTAGACTAGCATACCCCCTTAGTAACAATGTAAGTCAGAATACATACATCTTCCTGAAGGCTGTAGAAGTATATTGTTCGAATGTATCACTCTTGCATGCTTAAATGCAACCCTGCCATAATTGCCCGCCACTTCAMGCTAATCCTTCTCAAAATCACGTATTACACCGCTCTTATCTTTTGACACGCCCGAAATTAATTAAACTGCCCGTTTTTTAGGATATTGAAATGTGCTTGCGGTTTCTTCTTGAACGCCCTCTTTCCTATACCACTTCCGTTATGCTTATATAATATATTTTAATCCTTACTTCCCTTTGCTTTGGCAAATGCGGTTTCGTTCCTGCGCTTCCGCTGCTCCTTTGCATGCCCGCTTTACCGTGCTTTGGTTGTACTTAAGTACGCGCCTAAGTGGCACTTAAGCTAATGAGTCACGCTCAAACACTCGCGAATGAAGGGCGGGGAGGGGCATAATGCTGTCGGAAAAAATGAAATGTTTAATAGACTGTAATAAGTGTGAGTATTGAGTGGTTAGATATCAAGTTTAAGGAGAGCGGGYGGCTCAATACGTGACATATTTTACAGTTATTTTGTGCACTCACACTTGCCGCATATTTGATATGCCTTTGGGGTATATTATTACAATCTGATGACTACCCTTTTCCTTATCGGACAGAGTCAAAGCAAATATTTTATTTTAGATTTTTGATATGCAGCAATCAATGACATTACATAAGTGATATAATTGAAATTATTATTATATAATATTATCAAAGATGCACAAGTATATGAAATAAAATATGTTAAATGACTTCTTTAAATTGCCCAATTTGCTTGACTTTTCCTTTTTTCGAAATGTGGTGAAAATGAGAGATTCCAAGCAAAGCCAGGACCTTCTCCACCTCATCCTACCAA